TTCAACTCACATACCTGTACTTTGCTTGGCTGGAAACCACAGGTGTGGTCTCAATTCCAGACCTGAAGGGTAGCCAGGGCCCATAGTCTCAGTGGTTCCACCAGGCTCTATTGGACCAGCAAACCTGGTCCCAACCATCCCGCAGCACTATTTTTACAGTAGCCAAAAGATGGAAACAACATAGATGTCCATCAACTGAAGAATGGATAACAAAACTATGGTACATACACACAGTGGAATACTATGCAACCCTAAAGAAGAATGTAGTATTGGCAAAATACCACATAACACGGATGAACTAGGAGGATATTATACTAAGTGAAATAAGTCATTCACAGAAGAGCAAGTATTGTATTCATCCATTATATTAAAAAGTCAAGGAATGGTTTGTATATGGAAGGAAATTTTCTTTGTTGGTTACCAGGGGTGGGAGGGGAGGGGAGGAAACACTGTTAGATAGGTAGAGACAAGTATTGATTTAGATGAAAAGAAGGGCAGTGTACCAAATGTGAGTGACCAACACAGTGGCATTGAGGAAGAGGAAGACATGGAGAGGCGCATGGGAGGTACAGACAAAGATGAACCCTTGTGCACGTACAGTACTGCGTTGTCAGTGAAGGCAAGCTTGATATATGGGTGGATAGATGGGTAGACAGGCTGAACTATTAGGTATGTCTATGCAGGGTGGAGTATGTCCTAGACCACATATAGGGTTGGGAGACAATGTTTCTACAAGTGTATTTTTATGTTCTGTAAGAATTCCCAGGTATATGCTAGAGCTGACAAGGGCCAAGGTTGTAGCTACTTCTTGGCCACAGCCAGCTACCCAGAGGGAGTGAGTTGGATGCATGGGCATGGGCTTGGGATCATAGTTGCGGGGGACATCAAGCTCAAATGGCATGGCATACTACTTGAAATATTGTTTCACATCCTACTTTGGTGAGTAGTGACTGGGATCTTAAAAGCTTGCAAGTGGCCATCTAGGTGCAATGATGGGTTTCTTCTCATCCAGAGCAAAGAAGAATGAAGAAAACAAAAGACACATGGAAACAATTAGTCCAAGCCACTGGTACACCATGCAGTCGTCAGCTTATATGACTATGAGACCAGAAGAACTAGATGGTACTCTGCTACCACTGTCTACCACTCAGAGGGGGATGTATGTAGAAGATCCTGGATAGAGTGGGAGAACAATGTGGAACAAAACTAAAAAAAAAAAAAAAAAGGATCAGGTTTGCTGGTCTGATAGAGCCTGATGGAACCCCTGAGACTATGGCCTCTAGCTATCCTTCTGGTCTGGAATTGAACCCACTCTTGTGGCTCCCAGCCAAATAAAAGACCAGCATATGAGCTGAACATTTACAATAGGTAGATTCATTCCTTGGAGAGATCAATCATGGGAGAATAGAAGGCCTGTGTATGCCCAAGTAGACAGCTTGGCGGGGGGGCAGGAGTACATGGGAGAGAAGGACACAGGGAAGAGGTAACTGTGAGGAGGAAGGAGGAGGGGAGCTGTTGCATTGTGGGAAATTTCAGCCAATGTCATGAGACAAAGTGTATGTGAACTGCTGTATGGAAAGTGTTCTGGTTGCCCAGTGCTGCTCTGACAGGAATACACCACAAATGGGATGGCCTTAACAAACAGAAATTTATTCTTACAATTTGGAGGCTTTAATTCCCCAGTTATTAATTCATAAAAAAGAGGGTTTTGGGTTAGATAAGCCTCAAGGTTCCTCCATGCCTGAAATGTCTTTAAGCTTGTCATTCTCTTTCACTGAGGATAAGAAGACTGTTTCTGGAGTTTTGACTAGGAGACCCAGAATGAAAACTTATGTTATTAGAGCAAATCAAACCAAACCAAACTCAGCTGTCACTGAGGTTTATTCCATCTCATAGCAACCCCTATTGGGTTTCTAAGGCTGTAAATCTTTATATAAGCAGACCTCAGTTTTCTTTTGCAGAGCAGCTGATGGTTTTGAACCACTGACCATTTGGTTAGCAGTCAAATGCCTTAACCACTACACCACTGTTGTTGTTAAGTGCCGTCGAGTTGTTTCCGACTCATAGCGACCCCATGCACAGCAGAAAGGGTTACAGGTGAGGAGAGACAACTCAGGAACGCCCAAAGTAGCAGG